GTAAGAATGAACGACCGGCGATTCGCATTCTACACTGTAAATCTAAGTTGAACCTCGCTCTACAAAATGGTACCTAAGGCTTCTCGAAACACTTCACTACAAGAGAGTTATTTACAATGAAACAGTGTGCACATCTTTTTGGGACACCCTGTATTTATATAGCCCGCGTGGCACGACGAATAATATTAGGTCATCCCGAAAGTAACTTCGCCTTTTTCAAAGGGGCGCCACATCCGAAGGAGTGTTTTCTAAGAGATCTTGGTAACATTCGATGCAGCATTTCATCCTCTTTTTAACAGTGATGAAATTGTCGCAGCTCAGTCATTGAGCTTTCGGAAAATAACCAAAACCTGCGACCCGACGCTATTTGAAATGGTTAAGTTTCACAATTTTTCAAAACCTTCATATCAAACCTCAGAAGGAGTTCAAGCAACGATTAGATAGAGCAAAACCAACAGGATACAAATCAATTATTTCTCCTTCACATAACTCCTCAAATTTTTTGAATAAAATTTCAACTGATGCTACCAATCTTCATATTTGGTCATCTCAAATCCCGTAGAACATCAATGAGAGAGCAGCTCGGGTGCTGTTTGATGCAGCTTTCTCTCCTCTTCCTAATAGGTGTTTTTTGTTTCCGATTTCTTTCTTCGGAGACAAAATCGTCACAACTCATGTTTTTGAGCGCGCCCAAGGCTGTACCCGATAAACTCGAAGTTCAATTTTTCAAATCCGTAAGCTCTCAATTGCTTTACAAAATCAACATTAAGTCATATACCATCTTGGAAGCTTCAAATTCCGAGTAATTACTGATGTTTGATGCGATTGTGACTGACATAGGCTTGCCAAAATGCGATGGTATTGGTAAAAAATCTTCCAAAAAACTACGGCGACCTATGAAAAAGAGAAAAAAGATGTGCTGTATCCTATAAGGTTTGCTCTATCTAATCGTTATTTGAATTCCTTCTGAGGGTTGATATAGTTTTGAAAAATTGTGAAACTTGACACTCTCAAAAAGCATGGGTCGCAGGTTTTGGTTATTTTCCGGAAGCTCAATGAGGAACGCGGTCCCATTTGGATCTATAGTAAAGTTTCAACTCAGTTTAGGCGGAAATTGGACTGGCGGGAGTCCGCTTCGCAAAAAAAACCGCTTTGCAGTATGCGTCTCTTCATTCTGATCTATCTCGCTGAGCTAGTGGCGGTGCGGATGCTGCTCCACTTGGAATGTTTCGCCCACTCCGGATTGAAAAAGACTGTACAGTCGGCTGCGCAGGCGGTCGCGTCGCGCGCAGCCTCCATCACCAGGTCACGCTTGCCGTGTGCGCTGCACTCTGCTGGATTCGTAGATACTTACTCATTTCACTATGTGCTATCTGGGGCGGTATGCATCAATCCCCCGTTTTCGAGCGGGCGATCATTTTCAATAGAAATCATAAATCATGGTCAGGTACAACGCGGCCGGACGATCATTTTCTATTGAAAACGGGAGATTGATGCATACCGCCCCTGGTCAGTAAACAACATTAGCAGTTTTCGTGGCATTGAAATGTGGCGATCAACGTTTCGTGACAGTGAAATGTGGAGATTTATTCCGAGAGATTGAACATAGTGCTAAATCGAAATGAGTTGATGTGTCATTCATCTGATTATGAGTTTAGTTTACCAAATGCGTTTGCAAAAGCCTAGAATGTTTACATCATTTGAAGGATCGCAAGTCCCTTTTTTGGATCTATTATGAGCATCCTGCAAGAGTGGACGCTCCCACGAATCTCGGTTATTCTTATTATCTCCATTTCTTCACTTGTGCAGGATTAGGTTTGCCTACTTGTGGAGGTCTTTCTAAGAGATAAAACATGTTTTGATTTGCATGTATGCATATGGAGTGATGGTAGCATCTTACAAAAAAGATGTTGCGTCATTCGCATCTTGTCGTTACTATGTAAAAGGTAAATTAAGACATCTGTGTTGATATACTATCATTCTTTGCAATTTTGTTAATCGTATTCTCCCGGTACAGGGCCCGGCACGGGGTGGGCAAGTGAGGTTTTCAAAACGAATTCCCCTTTGATCCCAAAATTTTTTACGAATATTCCCTTGAGCCCAAAAACGATGCTTTGTGCTTGTGCAACGCAGGCACCGGCCAAACGTTGCTCAAAGCACCCAAAAGCGCTTGAATTATTCTATTCTCTCTTCACCTTCCTCATTTCACACGTCCACGCTAGCCTAAAGGCCAGCACGTTAACATGCAAGCGTAAAGTATGTTAGGAGAGATGAGAAATATGAAGAGAGATCAAAAAAGTATGGGCGCTTTCGAGCGCTTTTGGGCGAAGCCTGCGGTGCTGAATACTCTACTGAAAAAAAACTATCAACTGACATTTAGAGAGAAAACAAAACATCAAAACGACGTTAAAATACTTGTCCTACAAGATAATACAAGGAAAAACATGAGCAATTGGTTATAGGACTGAGTGACGCCGTTCCCGCGCATATCGATCTATATCGATTAGGGCGCGCTTTCCTCATTAAGAGAGGGTGCCGCATCCTATTTTGACTATAGTAAAGAGGAGAGGGGGAGCTTTGAAACCAAAATTTACCATAAAGTTTAGGTGTAGAAGAGATTTATGTAAAAAATTTTGAAAAATTATGGTGAAACGGAAGTTTTGCCCACCTAATTTGGAAAAAAGTTGGGCACGCTCTTCATTCACATAAATTTTTCATAATTTTTCATACATTGTTCCTTAGTCCTATTGCGCGTATACACACCAAGTCTCGCGCGATTTCGTTGGGTGGAGGACTATATGTCGCCGGAAAGGGGCGGTCTTCGCGGTCATTTGCGACAAATAGGCATCTTTGTATATGCGCGGACATGCGTTCCTGCAGGAAATCCGCGCGGGACTCTTCCAAATTCGGCGACATGTAGTCCTCCACCCGATTTCGTTTAATCTGCGGTGCAAACGAGCCATTTTTCCATTTTCTTGGTAGTGGAAAATTTTCAGATAAAAGCTTGCCACAACCTTCGGTCACAAAATTTTTCAGTGAAATTTCTAAGTTAAGCCCTGCAGGCTCGTGTTCATGTACCTACCAAGTTTCATACCGTATGGTCATCTGTGCGCTGCAAACGAGCCACTTGAATTCACATCTTCGTTTACCAGTTTTGCCAACTTTTTTGGAAAAAATGCTTATTACTCCTCCCATTCACATAAGTTTTCCATAATATTTCACGCTTTGTTTTTACTAGCCTCTCTTCGTTCGCTTACATAATTTGGTGCTATGTCGTTGCGGCTGCATTGAGAACCGATCATGTAATCATGCTATTCAACGGCATCGTTTATGCGACGTCGCGCACGCGGCAATTAGCGGCGGCGCGGCGTAGCGCGCGCACTCTGCTGTGCGTTGAGGTTTATGGGAACTACTTCCCAACGAATTAGATGTATCTTATATATAAAGCTGATTGTCTGTTTGTCTGTATGTATGTATGTATGTATGTAGTGACACCCGCCGGGGCCCGAAGTGTATGTGTGTCAAGTTTGGTCCGGATCGGTTAAGAAATGGAATTATCTATTTGGAACATACGGCGGAGCCGGGTAAGCCAGCTAGTAAGGTAATAAGCATGATTCGACCTTCTTTTGCTTGCATTTGGAATTTTCTTCCGGGCTCCGCCCCGGACCCCGCGAAAACGATTTCCCTCTTGCTTTTTTCATCAAAAACGATTTCCAGCTTGTCATTTGCCCACCTCGTGCCGGGCTCTGTCCCGGTATGCTGTGTTCATCTCTGCCATACTGGATTGCATATTGTTTGCATAAGACAAGCACAGAATAATAAACTTCGGATGTCTCGGGTGCTCTAACATAACTGCCGGATAGAGGACGCCAGAAACATGTATGTTGGAAGACTCAAAAGATCAAATGTATCAAAATCAAATTCTTGTAAGTAACTGACATCTCTCTCCAGAACATTTTTGCACATACACTACATCAGAGGCGGAGAAGCTCACGAGAGGCGCGCAGGAGCGGGGTCTGTGTAATCTCTTCTTATCCATAAAGAAGTCCTTTGTTGATGTAGTATTTTTTCTCTAGAGCAAAATTTTTGGCATAAGCTTTCGAAGTACTTTTGCGTACGAACTAATCGATTCTCCAAATTAGCTTTCTAAATTGTAGGCGCAAACTAAGCTTTGTTTAGTCAATATGCCATCGAAAACCCAGAAGTGAGTATCAGGATTATAAAGACGAGAGCGCGATAACAATCAACGCTCATCACTTTTCCAAAACCTTCAGATTTTTTTTAAGATCCAAAACCAACTGTTTGAGGTAAATAACCAATTCCAACGCGTTTGCCCAAACCATGGGAGCTGTCAAGGTCATGGCTTTGAACTGAATTGAGATTGACATTATCTCAGAAACCTGAGAAGCGACTGTGAGAATCCCACCGGAGCTTGAGTACCCACCATAGGTATTTAGCAAACCTTACAGCTTCTCCAAAAACAGGCATCTTGAATATCTGGGGTCTCAGCATCATTTGCCGGCTAAACGTAAGAGAATAGCTCATAGAGTGTAAACTGCAGTATTTTCGGTCTGCCATCTATCGCCTAGCGACAGCACATATAGAAAATGTTAAGATTTACATAAGATGGCATCGCACAACGGCGTGAACCGGTGATAAAAGCTGCGCGCGCGACGCGACCGCCCGCGCAGCCGACTCTGTAGATTTAAATGGGGCCTCAAGTATGGTGCATGCCTATGTCGCGCAAACCCTTAGTGCTGCGAGCGCGCAAAGTTACGGAGATGTTTCGGCCCGATCCCAATCGGGCAGAAACGGGTGGAATGGGTAGATCTCCAAAATATTGCGCAGAAGAGGTAGGCACGAAAGCCTTTGACATGTTTGTCTGGCCGATTACAAAGAAAGAGTTGTGCGCCATGCAGTCGTAAAACCAGAGTAATAATTGTTGAGCGGAGATGACTGAATGATGGTACAAATTATTGCTCCTATTTAGAACAACTTACTTTTGAGACATTAGTCTCGCCTGCAGTAATGTCAGTCTGTTGCCAGAAGAAAAAGCTTTTGAAAGCCATAGTATCCGCACTCCATTGACCAATGTCATCGTGTCCGCACCTGGCCTAGCATACACAAATCACTGACATTCTATTCACCACAAGATTTGATCGTCATCGCAACAAATTTCAAAAACATTCACAAAGTTCAAATGGTTTTGATCTGTTACTGTAACAAAAAACAGCAAGGATTTAGTGTCATGCTAACGAGTTAGTTTATTGAAAACACCTCGCTGCCTACAATTACAATTATAATAATACTGTTTCGACACCTTTGTATCGTTGTCAAACGACAGAATATGACTGCAGAGGGAGTTCATAAGACATCTAACTTCCCATTTTTATTTCATGAACGTAACAGTCGATTCGCTTTGTATGGTCATGTGTGACATTGCTACTGCCCACCTTTGGCGTTCCCATCCTGGATTCTTGGAGGAGGCAACCTTTCATGCAGGTGTTTTCAAAGTGCTTTCAACGTTTTTTTCACTTTTTAGGTAATATTCACCTCAAAGTGATGTAAGTGATAGCATTTGGTCAGTCTCCTGTGTTTTGAATTGCAAATCCAGGATGGGGACGCCAGAACATGTGTGCGGGTGCACACATGATTATATGAAATGATTCGATTGTAAAAGAAACCATACACATTTCCCAACAACAAGCGAATTACAATAACTGAAATGGAGCTAGATTTGAAGAAAACTGCACTGTCTACGAGAGAATATATGGAGTTTCTTCAGAAAAAAAATCCAGTATGAAAACTTGGATCATGGGAGAAAATGAGTATCAAAATGAAATGAGTCCAAATGATTGCAGGTTATACTGTCAATGAAAATCACACTTGCGCTAACGATCGGCCGAATCCGGCGATCCGCCACCACGACGAGATCGCCTCTTTGAAGATGAAGTTGACATTGCTGCGGCATTTGCCTCCTCCTAAATCATATACTCCATGTTTCGAGAGAGATCTTGCGAGATAGATCCAGAGACCGAACATAGAAAGACAAAAAGATAGAGACCGAACATAGATAGACAAAAACGGGTACCTTACCAATACACAACCCAAAAATGAAAAATCTCGGATTTCGCTAAAACTTTGTGCATAGGAGCTATTTGACATGCTGATCACGAAAATGATATTCATTTCGCATGGTTTGGCCTTTCTGGGGGGGGGGGGGTTACGGTAGGCATACGGTATATGGCCAAAATCGCAGATCTAGCTGAAACTTTGCAGAGAGGGGTTATTCGACATGCTGATCACGATTACCACGCTTTTTTCGCATGAAAACGACTCTCTGTATGGTCACAGTAGGCATAGGTAGGGGGTCAAGACCGTAGATTTGGCTGGAATTTGGGTGGGGTTGTTCGGCACGCTGATCACAAATATCGTGATTTTCATTCATTTTGGGACCTTTTTGTAAATTTACGGCGGGTATACAGTAAGATGTAAGAATCGTAGACGCCTGGAACTTTGAGCAAGGAGGTTATTTGATGTGCTGATCACGAATTTCGCGCTCTTTTCGCATGATAAAGCCATTCCGTGGATTTTTGGGATTTAAAATGGCCTGAAAAGCAGAGACGGTGTCTATTTATATGCTGCAGAATACCGTAACTCCGCAATGAGGCGTTAATGCAGTGAGCAAGCATGGTATTCGTAATCAGCATGCTTGAAAACCCCTCTAGGGCAAGTTTTTAGCAATTCGCGCGAAACTGATGGGCGCCATGAATCCGCAGAAATACGACCCTGGGGTCCAGTTTGGAAGCCTATAAGGCATACCAACCACCATCGGTCGTGGGTACCCGCGGGATGAGGCTGCAAAGGCGCGACGCGAGCAGCAAAATTAGTACCCGAGCGCGAAAGTCTGCTGGTAGATTTGTGGCTAGGGTTGATTTATCGCTGTTTTCCAGAATTTCTTGCTCATTTGCAAAGAAACTTCTTTCGTATATCTGTCGAACTTCATTTCGTACTTGCTTGCATGTTGGAATATCTTGTTTTCCGTATTTCACGCCATTTAAACAGCATGAGCACTCTGAAACTTCTTTTATTCCAAATCGGTAATGGTTAATGCAGCTTTGTGTGACTGTGACTCTAGTCTGACACTTTGATTGTATCAATTTTGAGATTAGGAGACTTGAGAACGTTGCACATATTGTTTAACAAACTTGAACATGTTTCTCCTTCAATCTCTACTAGTAAACCAACCAAATGGCGAAAACAATGACACTTTCTCCTCATGCTTGAGCAAGGCGTGCTCGAGTCTCCTCAACTCAGAATAGATGACAATTTTCTGCTGTGCATAGCAAAAGATGCGCTTCGCCATCTCTGCTTGAACACTTTTCATTCGAACAGCGCCACCACCTGAAATGGTTAGAAATCGTCACAAGCACTGGATCTGATGCCTAACAAGAGAATAGAAGGTAAACACGGGTAAATTAACGGCATGATTCTAGGAACAAGGTTCGCGCCCGAGTGCAATCTCCTTCGCTCGCGTCGCGCGCGCGCTGCCTCATCCTCTGGGTACCCATGACCGATGGTGGCTGGTATGCCCTATATATCTCAGCCGTTAGTGATTCATTTGCGCTGCCGCTTGGGCAGTGCCTAGGGAACGGCCATAGGTTGTCGGTGTTGTCGGTGTTGTCGGGGTCAGAGACAGTTTAGAGAGCGCGCGAAACGTGGAGTCTATCATGAGGTCCTCCAACGACCGGCAACCTCGGCAACCCCGACAACACCGAAACCTATGGCCGTTCCCCTAGGTTAGGGCCACAAAATTACTTTCCACGTAAAATACCCATAGGTCCAGATTTGCCTGGACGCTGCCTTCAACCCTACGCTTATGATAAACGCAGTGTGAATGCTGGCAATGGTTTTTTTTTTCAGGTTGTCTTTCACATGTTCAAGTGTCAGTGGTGTTTTCTTTTCTCCTTCTTTGCTTATTAGGTGATCCTTTGCTGATCAAGGCGAAGAAGGTAAGTTAGAGAGGAGTAGCTTTTGTTTCCTGATAGTTATATCATTGCTTATCTTCATTGACTAGAAAAAGCTACATCGCGTTAGTTTCCTGCGTATTTCTTCTCCACTTCATGCCTCTTTCTTCTTGTGAAGCATTTCTTTGAACACTGTAGGCTTTTACATTTAACTCATTATTATATATCGCACGAACTACTCGAAACGCTATTTTTGAAAAGCCGAAGTTGCTGGAGCGCAAGCCCACTACCGAAAGAAATGCTTCGGAAGAGGCATTGAAGTGACGGAAGAAAAGGAAATGACAAACACATGAAAGTGACGCGACGTACTTAACACGTTGACGGCCGCTTGAAACACCATGTGTGTCAAGCAATGACTACCAAGTGGGACCGCTTGATACACATGGTGTCAAGGCTCAAACTTCGTTAAAATGACGACTATCTTACAAACTACGGTACAAACTTATTCCAGAAGTTTTCTTTTGCTGTGAATCTAGAAATGACCTCTATCTCCTTTATCAGCCTTGAACAGCTACTGTAGGTGTACTGTAAGCGGCGGTATGCGCGGCTTTATCTGAAAAAAAAAAGGTCTGGTCCCAAAAGGCAGACAATCAAAAAATTGCGTTGTCAATGTTTTAACGTAGATACCTGAGAATAGGCGACAATATAACCATTTAGAAAACAGAAACTACTCTCTAACTTACCCTATTCTCCTTTAGCAGCATCGACTTGCCTAAAATAAGCCGAGAAAACTTAAGAACACTCGCTTGGAAGCTCGCAATGACAATCTTTGCACAAGCGTTGTCGCGTAAGCAAGAACCTACATTAAGCAAGACTAGTCAGATGTATCTCTTTATTTTTTGCCTTCCATCGCTCAGGCGTAGAAAAGTGCCCGGAAAATACTCTAGCAAACTAGTGCAAGGCTCAAGCGAGATGGGGCTGGCACTGCAGCCGCAAGGGCTATGACAGTGTCACTAAGATATATAGCTTGTACATCACAATGAAAGTGTAACAATCAAAGGTGTAGGGTGGTAGATCTAACGTTTTTATGGTGTCCTTGCGATGCGCCATCCGTACGTGAACAAACAGCTATGCTTGTGATGCCGGCGAATTGTGCTTGCAAAATTTTGTGGTCCCGATCTCGGCACCGCAAGGAACTATATCAAGCGGAATACTAACCAGCCTATAAGATAAATCCAGATGGATACGAATCCATAAAATTTGATTCAAAACAGGAAACTTCCTACGACATTTCAAGCTATTAAACTAAACCCTTCGAGTCGCTATACGTCAATCGAAGCAACTTGGAAAATTCTGTTGCATACACTTGTTGTATACACGATTCATGATACGCAAAGACTAGGCGCCGTTGCTTCCGGCCAAGATAGTTCGTGCATGAAAGAGACAGCAGATGGTAAGAGGAACGAAAAGCGATCGATCACGGAGATGCCAACAGGTCCGAGTCTTTGGGTGCTATGAATCACCTATATTTTAATTTGCAACCAAAGGTAGATCCTTCATCGGGTAAAAGCATCTGAAAGAGTTCTCTGGAAGAACGCACATCGTATAGGTATAGGCCGTCCGCGCTGCGCACGGAGAGCAACGCTGTTGCGTACACTGAAGGCAGTTCACGAGTGGAAGAAGCGCAGAGAAAAAGAGGCGGCGAGAGTGCACGAAGAAAGAGGAGTAACGCGCAGTACACACCTTGCGCACTCTCCGCGCCGTGCGCGGACGGCCTATAAAAGCATCTGAAAGAGTTCTCTGGGAGAACGCACTATCCTGACCGAGCCTTTTCCTTGACTCGAGTCAATAACTCGCTTTTCTACAGGTAAGTGAGGTTTTCCCTCCAAAGAAAGTTTACAAAGCAGATTTTTATAAGACGCCAATCTGTGAAATGAGGCACTTCCCGGAGAGATACAGGAGCTTTCAATCTGAGTGTCACGTCGACGTGATTCACTCCCTCGCGAGCCGCCTCGCTTGAAGGCAGTAGGTCGGCAGAATGAGACCCGTAAACAAGGTCACAGGGTAGGAGCCCCCATAATGGAACCCATGGGCCAAAGTTCGATCTTTCTCTGCCACTCCTAACCCCCGAAATTTCAAAGCGAAAGCAGCGCTCATCTCCTCTTTTCTCCGATCACGCCCACCCCACGGACGAGTGAACGCGAAGTCCGTCATGGCGAAGACGCAGAGTCGTTGCGGGACCTCATGCTTATAGCATTGCGACTGCGCGCTCTGACCGGAAGTCACGCGTCCATGGGGTGGGCGGGTTCGGAGAGGACAGGAGATGAGCGCTGCTTTCGTTTTGAAATTTCGGGGGTTAGGAGTGGCAGAGAAAGATCGAACTTTGGCCCATAGGTTCCATTATGGGGGCTGCTACCCTGTGACCTTGTTTTGCCACGGGTCTCATTCTGCCGACCCACTGCCTTTAAGTCTCTCAAGTGGTACAATAGCGCATCCGTTAACGCGAGAGCCTTAGTGCGCGGTATTGCACCGCGTGAAAGACTCAAGCGAGGCGGCTCACGGGGGATTGAACCACGTCGATTGTGATACTCAGATCGAAAGCCCCTGTATGTCTCGATGAAGAGCATGGCTTCCATCAGTGAGACACTTACTAATGCGCTTCACTTTTCACAAGAAAAAACATTTCCCTCAAGTAAACGCTCTCAGAACAGATTTTTATACCATTTGGTAGTCATCTGCGATACCAAGTCACTTCCCGGTAGTGATCCGAAAAGTCAGGTCCGCCACCGGGACAACGAGGCCCTGTTACTGTCACGCTTTCCTTAACACAAAAAAAAATTTTTTGTGGTAAACGCTCTGAAATTAGTTTTGATCAAATTCTGCAAACTATCTGCGATACGATGTCACTACCAGGTTCAGTCTTTCACTGGATGCGCTGGCTCCACCAGGAGATCCAATCACTCAAACTCTCCTTTATACAAAAAAAGCAAGGTCTACCCAAGTAAGCGCTTTCCAACAGCTCTTCCTATAAAATAAGGAATGTCCCAAGTAGAAGCTTCAGCCACACCCAATTCCATCTACACCAGCGAGACCCAGTTACTCTAATGCTTTCCTTTCCACACAGCAAAATTTCTCCGAGTAAACGCTCATCCTAACCAACGAGACCTAATTACACAAGCGCTTGGTACCCCCCCCCCCCCCCTCAAAAAACGCTCTTCTCCAGCGAGACTCAGTTTCAGGCAGTGGATTTCCGCAAGTAAGAGTTCATCTCCACCAACGAGCCCCAGTTACTGCCTTCGATTTTCTCAAGGAGAAGTCCCATAGCAGATCCAGCTACCGAAGCGTTAGATCTCCCCAAAGAGTAAAATCTCATCTTTACCAACGACACAGTTACTCAGTCATTGGATTTCTCGAAGTGAATGCTTGTCTCCAGTGAAACCCAACTTAACACGTTCCGGACCGGTGCTGCACATGGTGCAGCACGCTGCTTTGAAGAATCTTTTTGAAGTTTACAAGAGGTTTTCTTTTAGTCCAAGATTATCAAGTCAAAGGCCTAAGCTTCTACTTTTTAAATGACCCTGTAGAGTTGTGCCGCCGATATTTGTTAGGAGGTTTGAGGTCAAACAGAACAACGGTTGCAACGAAGGGCAACGCGAACAACGCGTGTGATGTCACAACTTATCTTTGCTTTGAAATCAAAGAGAAAAACTGTAGTGGCAATACTGATGTGTACAGCGTACAGCATAAGTACTTTTGGATACTATTAGAAACTGAGTGCTTGTTCCTATATTTCAGGAAAGCACAGAAGTCCTTCACAAGCGACAAAATTCAAACACTTTCAATCCACTCAGAACTTTGGGTATGGAACTTGTCTGAAAAGCTGATTATAGATGTAGCACACAGTCTACGAAATAAGGCCCCTTTGTTGGCTGGCTGAAAGCACTCTTTTTCGCCGCGCGATTTCGCGGTCCGAAACGTGTTAAAGGCAGCGGCTCGGCAGATTGACCTACCTCAGATTTTGACACAGATGGATAGGAGGCCCTCCAAGTGAACCAAAACAGCAACTCCGCGCCGAAAATGTGAACTCTGCAAGCCAGGGGGGTGGCCCAAGCGTCGCTCCCCTTGCTCCTTTCGCTCACCTAACACCTTGCTCGGACGAGTGCTCTCCGCTAGACGGCGCGGGACCTCCCAACCGCTTTCCCGCATTGTGCATGCTAAAAGCCAAAATTACAGGCAGCAGGGTCTTCGTGCCAGGGCCTCCCGACTTTCCTTTGCAAATTCTCGCCCGAGCTGCCTTTTGGAAATTGAAAAAACGCCCCGAAAAAGCCCTTTTCACCCCTTTTAAAGCTCAGATTCGGGATCTAAGGGTCGAGAAGGCCCAAAACATGCAAAAAGATGGAAATGCAAAATCTGCCGGGACCTGCCTCTAAGCGCATTCCTCCCTACAAGACAAGGAGCCGTTCCGCGAATTCATGCTTATCTCCACCAGCGAGATCCATTCACTCGAGCCCTTTTTTCCTAAAAGCGAAAGCAGGACTCCTCAAGTAAAGCTCATCCCCACCAGCAAAACCCAATTACTCGAGCACATTCACTAGAAGCGAAAGTAAGATCACCTGAAGGTAAAAACTCACCTCCACTAGCGAGACCCAGTAACAAATGCTAACCTTTCTACAAGCAAAAGTGATGTAAAGTAACGCCATCAGATAACATTTTTGATGAGAATTTCCAAACATCATCTACGGTATAGTTATCTAGATAGTGCCCTTCCTTAAAAGGCAGTGTCCGGGCAAAAACTCGATTTTGACATTTTGTGCTTATACGGGCCTACTCGGCATGCTGAATCCGAAATCCACACTGGAAAGCGCGAAAAGGGCAAAAAAAGGCCCCGGCGCAGGAGGGAAACAGCAAGTGGGCGGGGTCCTCCCCACTGTGAACCCACGCTTTCAGCTTTCGGAGCAGTCTTCTCGATTCCGCTAGCCGTTCTAACATCGCTACCAGCCAAGCGCGAATGATTGACTTAAAACCGGGAGCGAGAAGATTTCTCCGGGCTGAGAGTGTGTATTCATAGTGGGGAGGACCCCGCCCATTTGCTGATTTCCCTCCTGTGTTAGAGCCGTTTTTTCCATTTTTGCGCTCTCCAATGTGCATTTTCGGATTGAGCGTAGCGAATAAGTCTGGGTAAGCACAAAATCTCAAAATCGAGTTTTTGCCCGGACTGCCTTTAAAGGCAGCGTCCCACCAGACTGGGGGTACCTGGCTCTCGTAATGATGTAATAGTAGACCCCCTACCTAAGCGATGACTGAAGTTCGGAACGAAAAAGGGGGTCTACCAAGCCTGAAATTTGCTCCGAAAGCGGGCCGAATTTAAGGTAGGCTCGGGCGAGTGCGAGGTGCATGCAAGGGGGTGGGGGAACGAAAGCCGCCAGGTCCAGCCGCTTTTCGCGGCCAGCTGGTCCTTTCGCAGCGTTGTTGCATGTCGTTCCAGGACCAGCAGTCCACGGAGGCGGCTGGACCTGGCGGCTTTCGTTCCCCCACCCCATGCAAGGTAGAGACGCAGAGCCGTTGCGGGTCCCTGCGCTCATGATGTGTGCGCTATACGCACTCTGGCCCTGCAAATCGATATTGCCGAGTGGGCGGCGTTCGGTCCTACCGATTTGGCCCACTTTCGGAGCAAATTTCAGGCTTGGTAGACCCCCTTTTTCGCTCCGAACTTCAGTCATCGCTTAGGTAGGGGGTCTACTATCACATCATTACGAGAGTCAGATATCCCCAGTCTGGTGGGACACTGCCTTTAAGGTGTCGCCTCTGACAACAAGACCCAGTTACAAGCTTCTTGGTCTACGACAAAAGTGAGATTTTCTCAAGGTAGAAGCTTTAAAAGCAGAATTTTTATCAAATTCGCATATATCCAAAACGTTACATTTTAAGAAACCGTCAAATTTTGGCTCTACCAGGGGACCCAGTTCATACGATCTCTTTGTATAAGAAAAAAACAAAATAGAAACAAGCGCTGGAATAGAAACATGCAAAGGCACATTTTTCGTCTATATTTGCGAAAATTAGCGAGACAAATCTACCTGAAATGCTAATCTCAGCTGGAAATGTTGAGACATCCTTACCAGCTACAAGCAAAAGATTCCAGTGGATAGAACTCAAGAGGATACGGCAATAATCTTGCAGGAGGCATTTTTATGGTGACGCTGATCATAGTACATTGTGTCGACCAAGGGGAACATTTGCCTCGTTGTTATCTTATCGATTGCTGAGATCGCATTGTACTTGCAATCATGTGAGTTATGCGAAAACATCGTTTGTGTATGTTGATATACATATCACAATATGTTTACAGTTTGATTTGAAATAGGTCTCTAGCCGAAACCTATGCGGAAAGAAAACATTCGAACGGTTCGGTATACGAGAATATGGGGTGGAGGAACGAACACCTCAATTAGGCACCACCACCGCGAACTACTGGTCCCAACACGATGCACAACAGTAGGACGAAAGGACCAGCAGGCCGCGGAGGCGGTGCCTAATTGAGGTGTCCGTTCCTCTACCCCGAGAATATGTCTCGCATGTTAGGGAACGGCCATAGGTTGCCGGCAACAGTGGCCGAGGTTGCTGAGGTTGCCGAGGTCAGAGACAGCCTATAAAGCGCGCAAAAAGTGGAGGCTCTCATGAGGTCTTCCAACGACCTGCAACGCCGGCAACCTCAGCAACATCGGACACAGTTGCCGGCAACGCATGGCCGTTCCCTTAAAATGCACAAACGGAGTGTCCGCACTCGTCGGGTTTCTCCTCGTTTACCATCTGCTATCGTGTACGGAAAGTACAAAAACCATGGTATATTGTGTGGTGAAGACCAACATTATGTATAATGTAAAAAAGAAACAATAAGTGAAAGAGGGAACCCAAACCCACCTTTTCTTTCAGGAGCTCAGAAAACTGACCATCAGGCAGGAAAAACTCGCTATGCACTTCAAAACCATCCGGTACGCCCTCATTGTACTCTATAACAGTCATATCCCAATATTTTCTCAATCGATCCTCAACCTAAATAGGTCTAAAAATTCGAACGTCGGCTTCTGCTTCAATATACGATTATGGAAGCTGGAGAGACACATACTTGCTTTGTTGTGGGCCTAGTATTGTATCTGGGCTCGAAGCTGAGGGTCTTCGCCGTAGCCGGCAAGTCTTTACGTGATCGCACAAGCTCGAAGTCTGCATCACTCAAATAGTACTCAAAAGCTTCCTCATTTTCGTACAATTTGCACATGTGTTTTGCAATGCAGGAAAGCATAAAATGCTTGTTTACACCTGCAACCAAAGAGTACGGACTTAGAAATACTAGGGATTGAAAAAAAAACTAACCTACTGGTTTGTAACGTATGATCAGCTGGAATAGTCTCATCTCGGACAATTCACACCACTGTCGCTCGTTCTCTTCTCGCTTGAGTTCTTCCAGAGGAGCGAAAAAGGTATTCATGATCTGATCGCGCGTTAACTTCCTGTCGGATTCAAACTAAAGTGATAGAAACCCGCCATCAAAGCAGTGATGAGACTCACATTGTCAAAGAAGGCTCATTTGCACTCATCTTCTTTCAAGTAGTAACGAAGAGCGAGACCTGCTGGAGACGGGCTGAGTTCTCAATAGAGTGAGGATTATGACTAGAGCAGTTTGCACCGCAAACTCATTGTTCAAGTTTTACAAGACAGTTATCCAGCAAAGAAAGAAAGCAAATCTTGGACGTTCACGATAACACTGGCTACACTACAATGGGCACACAAGATTATAGAAGTAAAACCTAAATCGAATCGTTACCGTAACCAAAGCAAGTCGTAAAGTTAAATGCGCGCCTCCGCATTTACACACTGCACCATATTTCACGCCTAAAACCACAACTTCACGGGCATTTTGTTCCCGCAACCGACATGAGTTGCTGAAACTGAGATTTCAGATTTCCAAAATTTAGGTTCAGAAAGGAAATGATCGAATTGACGAGAAAATTGGGATTTAGATGTTTCCGAAGCTGCTCTATCCAAAATCAATAGTTCTTTTGCTCAAAAAATCATGAAACTGCGTTTTGAAATAAGTTTCAGAATACGAAGTCCAAAAGTCCAAGTTCGACCAATTTTCTACAATGAAAGTTGTGGTCTGAATAATAAATTTATGGTAAAATCAAGTCATAACAGAACTGGAATTACATTCGTACAAACTCGAAGCATTACTGATTATCTGCTCAGATCACCAGATGTATTGAGAGATAATAAAAAGTGGCAGCTTGTAACAGAAAAGAAAAATTGAGCCTTAATAGATAAGGCCTATGCGAAAGTCTTGGCGTGATAACTGACTGAATGGCTCCACAACAGCGTATGGGTTACACCCTGTATAGGTACGGTTGCGGCTGTCTTGCCTAAAGCAAATGTTCATATCGTTGAAAATGCCAGAGGGAAAATCACTGATGAACTCACATTCGCAATTTTGTTTCTGACATTTTCCATATTGAAGTATATATTATATATCCATATCCATATTCCATTGAACTTTAGATTCGAATATTGTTTGAAAACAGTTTCTGATTTTTTGAGCAAAACAAATGGTGATTTTGGATAAAGCAGCTTCGGAAACATCTAAATCTCAATTTTCTCGTCAATTCGATCATTTTCTTTACTGAACCTAAATTTTGGAAATTTGAAATCTCAGTTTCAGCAACTCATGTCGGTTGCGGGAACAAAATGCCCGTGAAGTTGTGGTTTTAGGCGTGAAATATGGTGCAGTGTGTAAATGCGGAGGCGCGCATTTAACTTTACGGCTTGCTTCGGTTACGGTAACGATTCGCTTTAGGTTTTACTTCTATAATCTTGTAATGGGCACCATCTAAGGGTGGGTTCATATTGATCAGGAAGTCCCGGAAGAGTGGTGGACTATTTGTCGCCGGATGCGCAAGGGTCCCTCGGATTCTTGCAAGACCTCAGTGCATGTGCAAGGGTGCGTCTTTGTTGCAAATGACCGCGGGGGCTGACTCGTACCTATACTCAGACACTTTTTCCGACGGCCCGCGCGCTTTCTTGAGCCTACCGTGCGAGCGGCGCGCCTAGATTTGTGGGCGTGGCATCGTTTCCGACGGGCGGCACGCCATCGAAACCTGCCGTGCGAGCGGCGCGCCTTGCCTTCGACGGGCGGCGCGCCATCTTGAGTGACGGGCGAGCGGCGCGCCATAAACAAATATGTAAGAACGACAAACATGTAACTTAACAAGACGCGTAAGCATCATTTTGAATTCGTTGTTAGCCGTAGAGGTTGCATTTATTGTTGCATCGTTGATTGCTTGTCCGTTTTGCCGGCTGATCGTCTCTAGTCTTTGTAAGTTTTTCTGGTCCACATTTGCACGGTCATTGTCATCCCTATTCCGTAGCATCTTAGGGCCGCATGCACTAACCTCCCCGCTGGGGAGGGGATCGCAGCTTAAAAGAAAGCTTTATATTTCGAAACTCCAGATACCTGGATTTCACGTTGTGTACCTATCCATAAGTATTCCTACTACCCTTCACTGTGAACACGTTGAAGAGGAGCGAGAAGCTGTACGAACCGCATTTTCCAGCTTTATGATCCCTGATGATCCCCGGTGTTTTTCTTTAAAGTCATTTTTCTTTCTCCGAAGTTAACGAAAACTTACCAAAGCTGTACTGAACATCTAACAGAACAGTGCTAAGCATGTTGCTGATGAGAACAAATGAGTTTTTGAAAAGGCGAATTTTTCGGTAAACCTCAAATTTCGACCTGTGGATTATCGAAAATTTCATGACTTCAAAACATCATTTGTTCTTATCACGAACATGCTTAGCACTGTCGGGTTGAATAATCTGCACAACTTTGGAGGTTTTTCGTTAACTTCGGAGAAAGAAAAATGACTTCAAAGAAAAGCGCCGGGGATCATCAGGGATCATACAGAGGCTGGAAAATGCGATTCGTACAGCTTCTCGCTCCTCTTCAACACGTTCATAGTGAAGGGTAGTAGGAATACTTACGGATAGGTACATAACATAAAATCCAGGTATCTGGAGTTTCGAAATATAAAGCTTTCTTTTAAGCTGCGATCCCCTCCCCGCGGGGATGTTAGTGCATGCGGTCCTTAGCGTCCCTATTGGCTATCGGCTATCCAGGCCCCAAATTTTTTGTCATGGATTTCTCTCAAAATTGGCCCAGAGGGGTTATCTAACGTGCTAATCACAAATATCACCCTTTCTCCGCAGGAAAAAACGCCTCCTTGCAGAGTTACGGTAGGTATACGATAGGGGGTCAACATAGATTTGCCCAAAACTTGACCCAGAGGGGTTATTTGGCCCGCTGATGCTAAATATCACATTGGTTTTGAACTGTAGCGTCATTTTCTAACGGGTGTGCAACGTAGTTCTGCCTGAAACGGGTGTACGGCGATTTGGACGATCGCGAAACTTTGCACACTACCACCGCCGTACGCTACACACCCTGCTGCGGCTTTTGCCTAGGCAAAGCACAGGGAAAAGATACATTTGCCGATTTGTGATTTTGACCCCTACCGTAACTATGCAGGGAGACGTTTTTGTGCGGATTTTTGGTGCAATCACCAGAGTTGTTTGCTATGTTTTTTCCTGATATTACAATATTTTGAAAGATGTATCGGGCCGCGGTCAGTCTCAAGCGTAAATTTGGAGGACCACAAACGTATGCGAAGCCTAGACCTGTTTCTCCACCATGTCTCACTGGGTATGTTTGTTATCTGGTTTCATTACCTCTAGTAGTTTCGTTTTCAGCAGAGAGAATCCTTTTGTGGAAAATATTGTCGAAGACGAAGGGGCACCCTCAGATATCCAGATGGAATTAGAAGTTCCACAAGGTTCATAGCTTTTGCTTTTTTTCCTTTCTGTTATGTTTCCTAGACTGTTTTTCCAGGTAACGTGTACGAAAGACGCGAGTTTCATGTTGAAACTCCTCTACGAGGAGTTCAGCCTCTTCCGTTGCCTAGATCACTTCATGAATGTGTTGAAAACGGAATCTTGCACATTGACAGGGCAGCCCGTCTAATTTTATCGAAGATGCATCGCCAGTAGTTTAACGAAGCGGTTTACTACGTAAGTATGAGTACATCGATTTTGATAAAAACATACAAATTCTTTCTAGGAGTTTATCAGATTCGATATCGTACTACGCGCTAAAGTCACTTATGGCAGTTTGAGTCGCAGGATCGGACATCCCTCGCTAGGGCATATTGCTAATCGCATGACAGTACGGCTGCACATTTTGGAATGTCATATATGCTTTGACTTGCTCAACCTGATTTAGGCCGAGATTTCGAGATAACAGCAAAAAGTGTTCGACGAATTGAAAGCAGCGAACGATCGACGCCAATACGTGACTTGTGCGTACCAGGACGTGACGCCTGCATATCTGTGGACAACTGTGTCAAGTTTTGGCAAATTCAGGCGAATCCGCCCTTCAAAAAGGTTTCTCATTCATGTTTTGGATTACAATAAAACGAGAATAATCCAGTGAACGCTTCAGCTGGATCTCACAAATGTCTGTAAAGATTGGTAAAGAAGTCCGAGGCACAACATCTTTCAACAGTTATGTTCCTTGAACCGTTTTTTATTCCAGAGGGTGAGTCATGATGTATGCAAACACCTCATTTACATAAGGAGTTCTTAGATGACGGAACCTGCCGACCAAATCAAAAGCTACTCCATCCGCCTAAACCAAAACGCTGGACGGGATGAAGAGTTGCTCAATCTACCAGAAGAAATAGAAAGGATCCTTAGAGGTCAATAAAAGGAATCACTTTTGGAGAAATAATCACTCTCAATGGACGTTTCCAGACTTCGGTGAAGACATGATGGGGTTCGGGCACGAGGAGTTAGACCAATGGAGACCTGGACTTGAATCAGTCTTTGTGAGTGACTAAAACAGGATCCGCAAAAACCAAAAGATTTGCGTTTCAGATTTTACAGAAACCTTGGAGATACCGAAAAGGAAAGGATGGAAGCGCTGGCTGAGCTAAGAAAACAGCGCTAGGATTGGCGACCTCTTTAAAGGCAGTGTCCAAGCAAAAAGTCGAGTTTGAGATTTTATGCTTATCCGGGCCTATTCGCCATGCTGAATGCGAAAATGCACAGTGGAGTGTGCAAAAACCGCGAAAAAAAGCTCTAACGGAGGAGGGAAATCGCAGGTGGGCGGGGCGTTCACACCGTGACGTTACTTTCCCAGGCTTTAGGAGCGATCTTCTCGGTTCCGATTTTATGTCATGCGTTTCGCAGTTAGCTGGTGATGATTTTAGGGTGATTAGAGGAAGAGAGAAGATCGCTCCTAAAGCTGGGAGAGTGACGCCACTATTTGAACAGCCCCGCCCACCTGCAATTTCTCTCCTCCGTTAGAGCCTTTTTTCGCCGTTTTCGCGCTCTCCAGTTGTGATTTTCGGATTCAGCATAGCGAATAGGCCCAGGTAAGCACAAAATCTCAAAATCGACTTTTTGCGTGGACACTGCCTTTAAGCGCGCACACCCTATAACTTTTAGCGGGAATCAAGGGATACTGAAGGAAAAACGACTCCTTTGTGCAGGAGAATCACGAAAACAAGTGCAGTTGTCAACGCGCGATGATCTACATTTCATCTCTCGCCATAGATCATTCTTTATCAATACGGTGCCTCAAGAAACAAAGTCATGCTGCACAAAAGCTTGCTATTAGAAAAAGGTCTTACAAGAGAGTCCATGCAGAAATTTCACAGAAAAAAAGCAACCATGCACAATCTCTAGCCTTTCATGACTTGCTGCCGCTGGCTCAACGACATCCCACCAGCTCGTTCCATGACACTGATAAGCTGTCATCGATCAAGATTCTTACTGGTGCCCGTGTAGCTCAAATAGTAGACATCCGTGCTTGAATTGCACGCTCCGACACCAAACGCCCTGCGCGCCGGTCAAATTTGCGTTGGGTCATGGGGCGCGCTCTTCGCAGCTATTTGTAACTATAGGTACGAGTGCTTTATACACTTACGATTCAGTATATGATGAAGTTCTCCAGTTTTATAGCGAATATTCATTAGCTCATTTGATCTACTATGCGATGAAGGAATGCAGCATCAGAACATGCTACGAATGACAGCTATGGACGGCGCTACTAAAAATGCTGGTTAGTGTTTTTCCCTTGTTTTTTCTGGGGGGGATTTTGTCTGTTTTTCTTACTAAATTCGAGATTTCCTTGTTTTTTCTGTTTTTTTTTTCACTGTTTGAAAGTTTGAGCTATAGGAACGGCGATAGGTTGCCGACAACAGCGTCCGAGGTTGCCGGAGTTGCCGGAATTGCGGGCGTTGCCGGGGCCAGAGACATCTTAGGTAGGCGCCAGACTAAGCGACTATTTTGTTCAGCTGCAGAAGGCGCGCAGAATTAACGTTAAATCTGCGCACGATTGCCACGATTTTGCGCGGTGCAGCGAATCAACGTTAATTTTGCGCGCCTTCTGCAGCTGAACAAAATAGTCGCTTAGTCTGGCGCCTACTTTAGGCACGCGCCATACTTGATCCGCTTGATCCACTTGCTCCGCTTGATCCGCTTCATCATTGGTCAATTTAGTGAACTAACCAATAGTGAAGCGGATCAAGCGGATCAACTAGGCGCCTGCTTTAGAGAGCGCGCGAAGCGTGGAAGCTATCATCTTAGGGCAAACTCGGACTCAGTTGCCGGCAACCTATGGCCGTTCCCAATGGATAGCGCCTTATGACTTCGTTATTTCTTAAGAATTATCTTGTCATCTGAATTGAACCAAAGAATGATGAGTTTGGGCGTTACAAAGTGTTGTGAATGTGAAGGAAGGCAGTTGACCTCCTAAAGCCAATGAAAGGGTGAGTAGCAGGTTTTGTGGTATGCAGCAGTTCATCTCATTTGTTCAGCTAGCTTGATATAAGGACAACTTGCTGAGGAAATCTGCAAAAGGAATGAGGGAAAGAAGTAGATCAATTAAGTAAAGTCATAGTTATCTCTCGGTCTGGTAAAGACAGAGATGTTTTTCAAAAGGTCAGTTGAAGCTGCAATATAGCCCAAGCAACTTTTTATTCATCAATCGTCAGCGTACTTAGCCATCTGCCAACAGCGCATGTACGAAACTAACGGAAAGTATCAGAAGAAGCAGCGGGACGTGAGGGGCAATGATGAGTCTAAGGATGAGCATTTTGGATATCGAAGTGAAGTGCATTTGCAATTTACAGTAAATTGTTTTGCAGTCAATTTGAAATAAATGTCTTGTCTCTTCATTCTTTCTTCTATCTTCTATCCACAAACGCTAGGGGTGAGAGGGAGGGGGTAAATAACAGGGTTGAGGGTCGCGCTGAAATCCTACCCCGGGGGGGGGGGTCGTATTCGGCTAATTTGGGTGGGGTTTAGAGACATAATTGGGGTTTGGAGCTCAATTAGGGCTAGTTACAGTATGCCGCGGCAGACTTGCGGAGCAGAAAATCGGAGGGGTCCGGCGCACAAATGGGAGGTCTCCGGAGCACAAAATGGCAGGGCTCCGGAGCACAAATGGGAGGTCTTCGGCGCACAAATGGGAGGGCTCCGGAGCACGAGTGGCAATCCCCAGCTGGGGAAACCCCGCGGCTCGGCCATTTCTGCTCCGGAGGTATGCCGTCGACTGTCTGAGGAGAGTCCACCTTTCATGGTTGTTATAGATGACCTCAGAGCATGCAGATACTGTCCATTTAGTATAGGAAACTAGATGTGGATTCTGAATCTGCTCACTGTAAGTAAGCAACAAGGTAACCAGATTTGTCTTCAAAAACACAAGCAAAAGCAAAAACAGCGGGCCTATACAAGCCTCCACCCCTTAACATCAAGAAACGGAGTCATGCTGCACAAAGCTTGCTATTAGCTAAAGGTCATGTAAGAAAGTTCATGCAAGAAGTTTATAGAAAAAGATCAATCATGTAGGTAGGTACAATCTCTAGTCTTTCATCCCTAACTTGTTGTCGCTGGCTCAATGACATCCTCTCAGCTCGTGACACTGATAAGTGTCATCGATCAAGTCTTCATTTGTTAGCCTATGTAGGTAGCTCAATGTAGCACCACACCCTAGCTCAAATAGTAGACATCTGTGCCTGAATTGCACGCTTCACGACACCAAACGCCCTACGCGCCTGTCAAATTTGCATTGGGTCATGGGGTGCGCTCTTCGCAGCCATTTGTAACTATACAGTCTGCTCCAAACGGGATCAGGCCGAACCGTCGGCTAAATTTGCGCGCTCGCAGCGCTAGGGGTTTGCGTTGCATACGCGCGCGTCGCAGAGAGCGAAGAAATTTAGGAGAGAGCAGACTGGCTAGCCATAGACGTGACGCAATACCCTCGCGGCACGCACTCCCGCCATGCCAATTTTGGCCTGGTTGGGATTGGGGCGAGGTGCCCTATATGGCCCCCCCCAACAAAGGCAGGGACCGTGATCAGGCTCTCCGCAGGCTCTTCGTGCACCAAAGCGCGCTTCTCTCACTGTCCTTTAAACTTTCACTTCCCGTCTCTGTGATTCAAATGCGGTGGTCATTTACGATCTGATATCATACATTCTTCTATTCCTGAAGTAAGGGTAATTAGTAACCCACTAGTGCCGTACACAACGGCTGGTTTTTCGCTAGTCCGAAGTCTGTTTTTGTGATTAAGCATACCGCCTAGTAGCGTTACAAGTCGGTTCGAGCAAATCGTGATTGTTTGCTTGAAATAGTTTTCAGAGGAGAACATAGAATGAAATCAGTCGCTGCTCAAAGTCTAGCTTGAGCATGCGCCTTCGTGGCACAGTTACGATCAAATTTTTTCATTCTCACTATGCCGTTGTGGAGGGGATAGAGGGGAGAGTTTTGGCCAAATGCAGCAATTCAAAGTGATATCCCTTAGAATTGAGCGCATACTACAAAGAGAAAGAAAACCAGACGAATCAATCAGAGTCTACACATCATATGGTCACTACTAGAAACAAGATAACCATCACGCAGCCGCCCTCGATTGGAGTTAGCCTATTGATAAATATCAGGTTGGCATTTCAGTAATGCAACTTTTGCTCATAACTTTTTTCCTCCAGAAATTGTAGGAAGTACTGCGGTAGTCTTCCCTATGTTATAAAATCGAGAATTCGATCTCCCAACTTCCCGAAACTTGCTACTGTAGTAGTCATTACTTAACTGCCATTTTCTGCTTGTGGTGTTAAGCGGAACACATGAAGATTTTGTAAATGCGTTAGACCTCAACTTGCAAGAAATGGCAGCTGAGAAAGTAGAGTTCATCATCTGGGAAGTCAATGGAATAAAGATTTCAGGGCTGGAATGAAAAGTTGAGGGAGAAGAGCTGACAGGGGAAGCGTGTTTAAAGTGGCGTTCTTGAATGAGACCCATACCACTTTGAAGAGTACTGCACGCTGGCTCCAGATCTACCTTCATTATCTGCCCAGCGCTTCTAGACGCCGAGTTAGGCTGGGTTCATACTGGTCTGCAAGTTTCGGAACAGCTCCAGCACAGCGCTCGAATTGTATGCTGTGTTGGAACTGTTCCGGAACTCACGGATCATATTAACCCAGCCTTATGACCGTCTTCTGAACGAAAAATGAATGCAAGATTTAAAACGTATCCATTAAGAGCTGCTCTGAAACTCGACATTGGACGAGCAATGGGAGATTTTGTTCCAGTTCGCGTTCAATTGCTTGACCTGAAAACGCCCATAACTCGGCTTCAATAGGCGCTTGGTAGATAATGAAGGCAGATTTTGAATAGTGTCCAATGCTCTTCAAAGCAGTATAGGTCTTATTTGAAACGGCCACTTCGACTAAACAGGTTCCCTTGTAAGCACTTTGGTTCGAAATGCCTTTGAGAGATAGATGGAGGTGGCAATTTGGTCCAGACCTTGACAAAGAGAATTTTTTCCCTACAGGGAAATGAACAACGGAAGAAATCTGTGTGTGCATTCGCTCATGAAGCGATCAGAAGTCGCAGTTTGCCAAGTTATCCTCGAAGAGTTGCCGAGGCGACCGATGTAAGATTGCTTCTCCCTTTCATTCGCTTAGTCCAAAACTATGAAGATCCGCGACTTGTGCATCTAGAGATGAGCCGAACTGCGCGGCAAAGCGATTGCCATGCTTTCGAGTTTCCATTTTTTTGAATTTCGTTTTTTACGAGTGGAAAATTTCTATTCAAACATCACTAGGTGACACTTTGCAAGCTCTTATGGCATCAAAAAGGTGTTATTCGAGGTTTTGGTGCTTTCGTACCGAGTTTCTCACATATGCTGGCTGGACCGCCAGTACAGCAAAAACTAGGAAATCGCGCGCAACTGAACGCGCTCGGGTCCCGGCACGAACAGCCTGATTACTGTCCCTGCCTTTGTTGGGGGGGGGGGGCATATAGGGCACCTCGATTGGGGCAGACTGTAGGTACGAGTCTACTGTCTCAAGTTGTGTTGAAGTCGTTGGAATCTACTAATGCGCTATAGTTTATGGTTGGATGGATCAGGGAATGCTAAGCGAATTTCTAGCTAGCTTTGAGCGAAAAAATGTTGTACATATTATACAGGGTTGGGGGAAAGTCTTTGAACACGGTATTTTTATCGTAATGACGAAGCTAGGCAAGGTGATCACATGAAATCTACAGACAATGTTTACTGAACTGTCTGCTACAGAAAACTATCTTTACATTTCGAAGATTCCTTCTTTGCCGCGATTACAACCACGGAATCGCTTGAGAACGCTGTCCATGGTGGCACGGAGGTGCTCCATGTCGACTTCCTCTCACGCATCCTGAAGAGCATGTCGCAGAGACTCCACAGTCTTGCGTGAGTGAGCGTAGGCTTCGGCCTAAAGAACTGACCACTTGCGGTAATCAAGGGTATTCAGATCCGGCCAATACGGAGGCCATTCCACAGGAGTAATGAAGTCCTTAACGTTGCTTTGGAGCCATGCTTGAACAACCTTCACTTAGTGCGCAGGAACGCTATCCTGCTATGAGCACCAATCGCTCCCAGCATATGGATATTGGTCCAGGCCAACAATTCCTTCTTCAGAATGCTATTCACATGCGTGGCGATGTCCACCTTGAGCACTGAGAGCTCAAAAACTAGCGGCATTTTGCAGTCGGAAACGATCGCCGCGCAAATTGTCACAAAAACCGGATGAAGTTTTCCTTCTGCAATCAATCCTTGCTATTGACTTCCTGAAGCGTTTAGGTGATGACCCTGTTGTTTTGGCGATCAGAAACCTGCTTCACGGTGAAAATTTTGACGTCAGAGAATTGTATGTTTGGTGGCGTGCCTTGGATAGGCGTCCAGGTATTCGATGGCATCCGCGCAGTCAAATCAGCTTCGTTTCTTCCCAAAAAGCATAAATTATAAGCATCTTGAAAAGCTTCGTCCCAAGGCCTTGTTCCACGATGTCGGAGACTTTTCTACCAGAGATGAACAGCTTTGAACCCAGCTCAGTCAAGCTTCTCCGAGGATTGCGACTATGGCGCTGGCAAACGATCTTCAGAATTTTGTGAGTGTCCGCAGTAGCCAATTTATCACTCGTATAGCAGTTCTGGGTGCTGTTCATATCCTGGAAACGACGCAAGGTGGAAAAGACGCTGATTTGTAAAGTTTGAAGAACCCGCGCAATCTGCTGGTTAGCCATCCTCTCTTCGTGCATCTTCGCCACCAACGCTCGCTCCGTTCCAGAAGGCATATCCTCGACAGGAATAAAGCTAATATTCCAGTTTTTGAAGAACTTGTAACTAAGGGTATAAGAAGCAAATACATATGATTAGTATGCAAGATTATGTGGAGAATCAGAACATACAATGACATCAAAAATTGTTCAAAGACTTTCCCCCAACCCTGTACATGTACGCTACACATATATAGTACAGGCAGAATTGAGAGGGATTTAAAAAAGCGCATTTTGATTAGCCTAAAAAGGTACTCGGTAGTACAATAACGCACACGACGGAAAGATTGAGCACAATTCACGGGTGATTCGTGGAACAAAAGATTAGGCACAAAGGTTGTCAAGGAGTAGCACAGATTTCGAAAAATTATATAACTTCTGGATGTACAAAATGACCAGTGTACTTCGACTCCTGATGCAATTTGTAAAGCAAAATATAATATGTAACACAAATAACCTTTTAAACTGACTCGATATGCGCTTTTTCTGCGTGATGCAAGGCACAGCCAACCGCTGCAAGGAGACCATGAGGTTTTTCTGTCCAGAGTTCAATTCTGGACCCATATCAAGACTCAAAAGTTTTGGTGCACGCAGAAACGCAACTACTTCAGATGCGATGTACTCAACAGGAAAAAAGCAAAATAAACCTCTGATTTAGACCCATATAAGCGTCAGAAAGGCCCAAGTGCAAATTGCGGACTCATGGCAGCATGATATTATTAAGCCGCAGCATTGGACCTTATCCTAGTAATGATCGCAAGATATCGCTCACCAATGTAATGGGGATCACTGCCCTCCGTTTAGATCACACATTGATTTCCTCTTCCCACCTCTCACTAATATCATCCCGAACATCGCAGTTCGCAGAAACAGTATCCGCATAGGATGCTAGTCCATTTTCTTTGCAGTCGCGAGTCATTTCAAAGAAACAGCAAGGGTTCCTTCATTTTCAGGTAGTAGAACATATCTTACTGGGCGACGATGCTTGAAAACGACATTTCGCATAGGTAGGTATGTATCATTCTAGGACTAGGAGACCCGAGACCGCTTTGCACACATTGTCTAAACAAGCTTAATCGTGTACTTAGCAGGTTTATACTTGTCATTTATCTCGCCCACGTTTATGCACTCTTTGGAAACAGGAAAGAACAAACTCAAACATGTTAAGACAATGTCCGCAATGCGGTCACGCGTCTCCTAGTCGTAGAATAGATGGTATCATCGGCTCCACGATTCGTGTAGAGGCGGGGTTTTGCCAACTTGAAGCGTGGCGGTTTTTGATAGCGAGAGAGTACAAAAAACAATGGTATGACATGGAGGTTTAAAAAGTTTACCTGTGTTATCAGGCAAAGTCTGCAATACACCTCTACACGAATCGGAGACGATCATAGCTATGGAGACTTCAGAATCAGCATCTTTGAACGCAAAAATGCACTGCTACTAGAGCAACCTCTGAATGAAACACACAAGATCTCGCAATACCCTGTAAATGACCTCGTGATACTGTAGTTGAAAGTTGCAACGACTGCCAAATCTATTCTGTGTTGCAAACGCATTTGGTACACTAAACTCACATTCAGATGAATGACATATAACTCGTTCCGATTAAGCACTATGTTCAATCCCTGAGAACATATCGTCACATTTCAATGTCACGAAAACCGTTAGTGTTATTTACTAGTAATCAGATAGCACACACAGAAAACAAGTATCTAAAAATTCACCAGAGTACAGCGCACACGGCAAGCGTGACCTGAAGATAAAGGCTGCGCGCGACGCGACCGCCCGCTCAGTCGACTCTGTATCTAGATTTGAATGGGGCCTCGAGGCGACGTGAGCTGTGCGCCTCGAATACGTCGGTTGCTGTACATCTTCCGTCTCTCTCTCGAGGGAGGCGCGATCGCGCCCGCGCTCTGTTTTGGGGACCGGCCATACTATTCCTGCGATCCCTGTGACTGCTACGGGTCCCGCAACAATGTATACTGCGGAAAAAAAACAATGTATACTGAAATTTGTAGAGCTCTCCGTAGTGCGGCACATCGAAAGTCGAGGAATCACAGGAACTGCAGGATTTACAGAAATCGCAGATATCACCTTCTGGAATAGTATGGCCGGTCCCTCGTGCTTGCTCAGAGTAATCTGATTGCTCCATGCTTTCTAGACATGCATGTTGTTACGCCCATCACACACGTCATATTCGACTTCGACGGTCTTTTGGTGGACACTGAGCCGTGCTACACCATCGCTAACGAGGCCATCCTTAGCAAATATGGTTGTAAATTTACAACGCAACTGAAAGGAGGCAAGTGCATTTTTGGTGTTGTTTTCGCACATGTTTCGGTGCCACTTACTCAAAAACTGTAGCTTATGAAAAGAGTACCCTGCATCATCCAAGAGGACGAATTTGACGTTAAATTCAAACATGGTGCTCGCCTGTAATCTCGACTGTCGAAAAAGGATTAGACGAACTTCCCTGTCATATACGAAATATAGTTGAGACCGAATATTCGAGTTCGAATAATTTATTCGAAAAATTCGACTATTCGAATATTCGAATAGTCGAATGTTTGAAAAAAACGCAATTATTCGACTGTTCGAATAGTCGAATATACAAAAGAGACAATTATTCGAATATTCGTTCATTCGCCCATTTGGAAAAACGGCGTATTCGAATATTCGAATATTCGATACGTTGGAAAAAACCAATATTCGAATATTCGAATATTCGACGCAACAAAAAAAGGACTTATTCGAATGTTCGATTATTTGCAACCGACTTATTCGAATGTTCGAATATTCGAACCGACAGAACTTAACTTTCTACCGGTCGCCTCCTCTTGTCGGCTTCTGAACGACCCCTTCACTTTTCGGAGTCTCTAATATGGGGGGAGTTGTAACAACGCGTAACAGCTCCCAAAGAACGCGGTTCGTTGCGGGACCTCGCCCAAACATTGATTGATTTACGTTTCCTTCGCATCAGTGCATTTCCCCTGAGTTCCATTGAGCTGTTTTTCTTCGTAGCAGAGCCTTATCATACTTCGTGACGCTAAAGTGCTTTCATTTCATTTTTGATACTTTTTGCCTGTTGCTCAAGTTGTCGACTATCTTCCTTTGTATGAACGCAGCTACCCACGTCATTGATGGTTTCTGTCGAGTTTTTGAAGTTTCTCATTTTCTTTTCAGAGGAATATTATGCAATCGCAGTGCGATGCGTTGGTGAGTTTGATTTTACTGAATGATCCAGCACTGAAGTCCTGAAAAGATTTTGCTAACATTAGTCCTTTTTGTCATTTCTACTTTTGGAGTTCAAGCACGTTAATTCTGACAGCGAATGATGTTGTTTACATCAAGTCATCAAGCTAATTCAGCAAGAAGGCTAATTTTGGAACGCCGAATTGTCCTTTTTTCATTTTTTTGATGCTTTTTTGCGCAAATGAATGAACTTGTCGTCTATCATTCATTGTATTGACAGCTAACAGTGTCATCAATGCCGATTTTGTTGAGTATGGGAGTTTTCAAACCTTTTTTCAGCGGAGGATTCCGTCCAATACGATCTCTACGAAGAGTATCAATTTCTGCATTCTGCTGAATGTTAACATGTTTGGATGAACTAACGATCAGTTCACGATACTTACAAGGTGATGTAAGCTTTAAGGAGTGCCTGAAGCGATAAATGTAGATCGAAAACTCCAGATAATCGAATCATTATATGAATGGTGCACTAGTCCCGTTATGCTTCCTTGCCCGAAGGGTATCTTGTTCAGTGAATTGGTGCACCATGTAAGCGCAGGCATCCTGTATTACTCAAATCAGTAGTCCTCTACAAAGAAAGACTTTTATCATTCATTCTGTGATTTAGGGACCCCGCTTTGCACACATTGCCTAAACGGTTTGAACGTGATTTTTCCTTTCCAAGTAGCAAATAATCCAAATCGGTCAGACTGGAGGTATAAACCTGTAAACGTCACGATCATGGTTGTTTGACAATGTGTGCAAAGCAGTTTCGAGTCTCCTGCAGTCACACACAGAATGATACTTTGCATTAGGGTGTTGTTTGTCCCATCAGACGAGACTCGCTTTTTCAGGAGATTGATTTACTTACAGCTTCTCTTTATTTGCATTCTTCTTCAGTAAAGTTTTACCCGCAGTGTATTTCTAAAGGCAACATCTTGATGACTTGATAGTAATAAACAACATCTATCTGAAGTAACGTGCTTGAACTCCAAAGGTAGGAATGACAAAAAGCACTGTTGTTCGCAAGGTTTTTTCAAGGCTTCAGTGCTGGATCATTCAGTAAATTCAAACTCACCAACTGCACCGCACTGCGATCGCATAATGTTCCTCTAAGAAGAAAATGAGAAATTTCAAAAGCAAACTCCAAACACTTTAGCGTCGCGAAATTAGCCGTCTGGCTCCTTTGTGTGCAAGCACGGACTGGCGCGAACAACCTGCCTCATCCGGAGATTCAAAATGTTGTGCATTTGCACGCAGGGCAGTGACTAGGCAGATGACGGCTACTATACATGTTTTGACTTCCCCGCATGCCTTTATCCGAAAGCTGCATAACGAAGCTACCCATTCAAATCAGCATTGCTGTTGTGCTACATCTTGGATACTACTAGCACCCGTTATGTTTCTGCGGCTCAAGCTAGGGGTTGATCGTGCTCCAGTTTCTTGGCGTGAACTCGTGTAATACTTACACCACCGAAGAACTTCATCGGGCAAGGGACTTTATAGGACCTTTACGGTTCACAGTCATAGTGGGAATTAAAAGAAGAATTACATAAAAATTAGAGTCACTTGTTGCCAGCCCCAAAAAAACCTAAGCGTCACTTATTGCCAACCTCCGCCCAACCTAAGCGTCACTTGTTGACTTGTTCACTTGACACACCTGTTGCAAAATGCTGCCACAGCAGGACATTCGGACTGAGTTTATCCAAGACTAGATTCATTCGAATTATTCGAATAGTCGAATATTCGGTCATGCCTGATTATTCGATTATTCGAATAGTCGAATATTTGGCCAAATGTGATTATTCGATTATTCGAATAGTCGAATATTCGGTCACGTCCAAATATTCGATTATTCGAATAGTCGAATTCTTGAAAAGTATCAATATTCGAATATTCGAGTTCGAATAATTCAAAAATCACAATTCGAATAATATTCGTTCGTTCGAATAATTTTTGAAATTGGATTATTCGAAATTCGTTCATTCGAAAAAAAATTTCGTTCGTCTCAACTATAATACGAAACATGGAAAAGAGCAGTTTCTGTTTTCTCATAATCTCGTTAATGCGGAGGAGCAGTGGCCGTGTTACAACTTAGGTAACTCCAAGTAATTAACCTTGAAACCCTTCCTCACAACGCAAAAGGTATGTATTTTTCAAGGGTGAAATATATCTTGAGGTACAATCCAATCCCAAAAACCCGTATTTACAAATGTATCTACCTCAAGGGTAATGTACACCTCGAGATAAAGCACCTGCTACTAGCTTAAAGTACAAATATTAGGTGAATATAACTTTGATTCATGCTGGGGTTTTTACCTGGATTTTTACAACGAGCCAGTACATTTGCATAATCCCATGTTATATTTTACCCTTGGTATGTTTAGCGCTGAAATTGAACACATCTTGTTGGTGATTACGGGTATGCGCTCTCAAGGTATAGTTTAACTCAAGGTATCATGATGAAAATTACTCAATCATCTCTTTTTTGAGCAAATATTACACTGATCCGTTGCGTTGCAAACTCTACAATCCTCTCGTAATTTATTGGAATTGTTTTGTGAGATGTCATTTTGTCTTGGCATGTCATATTTGAAGAGATTCCAAGACTTTCTCGACTCTCTTTACTTTTGTTGCATTCCAGGAATGATGGGTCGAAAACCATTGGAAGCTATCGTGTGGTTACTAGAACAGGTTGGCTTAACAACATCGCGTATAGAGCTGGTTTGCTTTACTATTGTATCTGAAATGAAGCGCAAAGGTAGGGTTGACGAATCAAATCACAGCAGAAGATTATGCTCTTCAATATGACATCATGCTGGCGGAAATGTTCAAAAAATGTCGCAGTCTACCTGGAGCTGAGCGTTTAGTTCGGCACTTGGCAAGTAAAGGTATGTATAGGGCTTATCAATTGCAGTGTCGGGTACACCAATATCTCCACTCCTGCGCGGGACTCTGCACCTCTTCTGCGAACATGCTCCTAATCATATCCAATCGAGTAAGGCTCCGCCTTTCCCACGCTTTCGATGGGAAAGCGATCAAAGAGTATGTTCGCGAAAGAGGTGCAGAGTTCAGGCGAAGCGACCGCGTGGGAGCGGAGATGGTGGTGCTCCCGACACTGCAGCTGACAAACCGTGTATGTGGTTAGACACATTTGTTCTGAAAGTTTCAGAAGTACCTATGGCAATATGCTCGGGATCTTGTAGTCGAAGTTTTGAATGGAAGGCGGAAAACCACAGAAGTTGGATTGATCTCATTCCGACCCATGTAGGTTATTTTTCTTCTGTTTGAAGTTCTTGTCTCATAGAAGCAGAAGCATCAGAAGCATTAGCTTTTTCACAGGTGTTATGCGGAGACGATGAACACATCAAGCGAGGAAAACCATATCCTGATGGCTTCATTGAGACCATGAAGAGGTAACTGGAACATAATGTGTCTCGTTAAAATGATATTCACCGTTCTAGGTTCCCCAAACAACCGTCCGCCCCCTCTGACGTGCTAGTTTTCGAGGATGCACCTAATGGTGTGAAAGCAGCACTAGCTGCAGGGATGCATTGCGTTGTTGTGCCAGACAAAATATTCCTTGAGGAGGCCAGAACATTAAAGTGGGCTTTGTGCAATTGCACTACTTTATCCACCTATAGATGTTTCGCTATACTTATTTTGACTAAGAAATCTCATTGCTACGCTCTTCCTCCTTTTGGGGTTATAGGATCGCAAGAATTCAAAGCAACCATAAGATTTTTGGAAGGCGTGCCGTGGCGCTTTCCTGAGAATTTATGAAGTTGCTTTGAAGTCAAAGAAAGAAATCATTCGTTCTACAAATACACTTTTTATTGAATGCAGAAAATGATCACACTTAACAGACCTTTATTCAGTCATCCAACGTGAGTTTATTCGGAAAAATATCATTTAGGTATCTCATGTGAACATATATCTAAAACAGTCTTTTAGTGCCGACCAGCTTCTCTCAAGTTTGGAAGACTTCAAGCCTGAGGAATTTGGTTTGCCAGCTTTTGATTAAAAGGATTTCTGAATACCACTCTTGATCTTTTTCTTCTTTTGTCTACGCCACGGCATCCTTTACTCCACCGCACTATCTGTTTGTTGGTGTCCTTTTTCTGATTTTCATTTTCTGGTAATATCGTTTCATCTGTGAGTTGGTTGCATGGACTATACTATTCAATGGTGAAGTGTTATGGTCAATGGTATTGAAGGCAGCGGCTTGGCAGATTCTCGACTTGGGGTTTTTTTGCTTACCTGGAGTAATTCGAGGCACTGATCGCGCAGATACACCTTGAAAAAGCGCGAAAATGGCAAAAACCACCATTTCGCAGGGCCTCCAATTCTGAATTTGAAGTGGAGCACATCCCGCCATGGTCAGAGAGGCAGAATCGTCGCGGGACTCTACAGTTATAACGTTGCGGCATGCCTTCTCTGACGGGTCACGAAGAATCGCAAGTTCGTCCGCGCATTAGAATGGCTAGCGCGTAACGGGATTTTCTGGGCAGGGGCAGCATGCTGTGCGCTCGGAGCTGCTCTGTTCTCATGTTTAGGGTGCAAGCAACTTTCCGGTGCTATTCGGCTATCCGAGCCCCAAAATTTTTAGCCATGGATTTCGTCCAAACTCGGCCCAGGGGGTTGTCTGACATGTTAATCACGGACATCACATTTTCTCCGCAGGAAAACGCTTCTTTGAGGGGTTACGGTGGGTATACGGTAGGGGGCCAAAATCGTGGATTTCGCTCAAAATCGGTGTAGGGGGGGGGGTCTTCGACCCGCCGATGCCGAATATCATACTGGTTTTGTATGATAGCGTCATTTTCCGGGGTTACGGTGGGTATACCGTAGGGGGGGGGCCAAGATCGTGTCCGAAAATTGGCCGGGGGGGGATAGTTTAACATGCTGATCACGAATATCTTGTTTTTAACTCGTGAAGACGTTTTCCCTGTGTGGAGGTGGGCATACGATAGGGCGTACGGTACGCGGCAAATCTTCTTCTCCTGTGTTTGCTTAGGCAAAGCCGTTGCAGAGTGCGTCGTGCGCCGCGATGGTCCTGTATGAAAGGCATGACGGCAGGGCGAGTCGGTCTACACCAAACACAAAGTTTCAGGCAAATTTGCCATTCTTGGCCCCCTACCGTAAACCTACAGTAACTTCATAAAAAGGCCTCATCATGCGAGAAGAGTATGACCTTCTTGATTAGCATGTCGAATAATCCCCCTAGGCCAAGGTTTCAGCGAAATCCATGATTTTAGCCCCCTAACGTATACCCACCGTAACCGCACAGGGAGGCATCCTTGCGCGCAAAAAACGTGATATTCGTGATCAACATGCCAGATAACCCCCCCCCCCCCTGAGCCAAGTTTCAGCCGAATCTACGATTTTGGCCCGCTAACGTATACCCACCGTAACCGCACAGAGAGGCGTCCTCGCGCGCAAAAAAACGTGATATTCATGACCAGCATGTCAGATACCCCCCCCCCCCTAGCCCAAGTTTCAGCGAATTCCATGAAAAAAATTTTGGGGCCCGGATAGGAATAGCGCCTTTCCATGTCAAAATCTCGGGATGTTCGGTTTTGACGAGCTGCTGCCTTCAAGTAAAGTGTAAGAGTGTACTCTTAGAGTTGCTGCACTTCGTTACACTTTGACAGTATCATGTTTTTGGCACAATCAATTCGACGAATATAATAAATATTTCATTTGCAGCCTCCTAATACGTTCAGGTGTGTGAACTATTGATATCGGAACGGCACCTTGTTTGTCAACTTGTTGCTTATTTTCCTCAGAAATGACAAGAACATCTGGCAAGCGCGTTACGCATGTTATACTAGATGTTGACGGGACTTTATTGGATACCGAAACATGTTATGAGAAGGCAAATCAGGAGATGTTGGCCAAGTTTGGGAGGAAGTTTACTTCTGAGATGAAAGCAAGTACGTGAAGGTAGACAGAAATGTACGCCTACAATTCGAATAGCACTGGCACATTGCTTTAGAAAGGAGAATTATCCATCGTTTTCATGTTTTCTTGTTCGTATTATTGAATTTCTACTCCTTTTGGCGCTGCATCTTGTGCTCGGTAACTTTGCGCCGTTTCTAGTTTCTTGTTGTTCTGGCAGAATAGTTCTTTCTGTTCCTTCAAATTACCTAACTGCCAAAAATATGTTGACACATTATGATTTCAGACATGATGGGGCGTAATGGGGTGGAGGCAGTTGCGTGGTTGATCAAAGAAGTAGGTGATTGACAAGGAAAGACATCAAAACCCAGTATCTATCTATAACTATATAGGTGGGTATCTCCGACAAGATCTCGGTTGAAGACTTTGTTGCACAGAAGGATGCTATGCTTGCTGAAATGTTCCCCAAATGCAATGCTTTTCCCGGTGCCGAACGCTTAGTTCGCCACTTTGCTAAGCACCGTAACATTGATTTGTATGTTGCGTGCTGTGCTACTGGTGCACTTTAGATATACCGATGGCGATATGCTCAGGCTCATGTTATCGGAAGTTTGAACAAAAAGCAATTAGGCATCGCCATTGGATGGATTTGATTCCCATAAAAGTAAGTCACTTGTGTTCTGACAATAAATTTGATAAATTATACTTTTCTAACTTTCATGGTATCTAATATATAAAGAATCTTAAGCGCAATCCAAAAAGCTGCAAATAGTGGGAAATTGCGGTGCGGTGCCGCAGCGAACGCGGCAAATCTGATACCTTTAGGAAGTCGTGAAATGAATATATCATTAGGCGTGAATCAAAAGCTTCTATTCTGCGCGCCTTCTTTTCAGTAAATTTTCGTTCCTTTTTTGGTTGTTCTCACACATGTTACTATATTTAGGTATTTTGAATTTGTTTGGTGGAGTGTTACATGTATCGCGGTTTCTTGGTCTTGGGATCGGCCATACTATTCCAGGAATGATATCCACGAAAGTCCCCGCGAAATGGACTTTTCGTGCGAATAAAATGGACTTAGTCCATGCGGTGCGATAGAATATCGCATTCGTGAATCCATTCATTCCATACTAAACTCCTTCAGCAAACCTCTCCAGCTTGTTTCAACCTGTTTGCTCACTCTTGCAAACTCAATTCCACTAGGTGGTCGGTATCTGACTAGGCTGTCCTAATATTACAATGTCAGTCACGTAGATTTTTTATTCTTTCTCACAAAATACCATTTACTAGCTGGCAAACCCGGCTCCGCCCGGCCCTGTAATTATTATATTCGTAATCAGCATGCTCGATTACCCCCTGTGCCAACTCCCAGCTCCGTAGCTCAAATTTTGCAAAAAATCGATAAAATCGATATCGATCGATAACGAAAAGTAGCCTATGACACGCTCCCTGCCCCGAAGTATATGTGTGCCAAGTTTGGTCCAAATCGGTTCAGAAATAAAAATTTCTATTCCGCACATACGTACAGACATACATACAGACAGACAGACATTCAGCTTTATATATAAGATTATCGATGGCTATGCTCTAAATTACCTTCAAAACTAAAATTTACGTATTATCTGGGCCTTCGCTTTTCAGTACTTCTATGAATCTGCATTAAATCAAGTTCGTATGAAGAGCTGCAGAAAGCAAACTTTGGCTAGACTACTTGCACTGCAATCTGTGAATCAAAATGCTTATCTCATAGGAAATCTTGCACTACGACCCAAAGTGTTTTTAAGCCATAAAAACTACGAATCTGCAAGGGATGACTTCGCAAATTTCCTACTTTAGCTCTTCATTGTCTCTCAGCACTGATGTTTATATCTCTAAATAGTTAAATATGTGGACTATTGCTAGTAAGAAGTTTTTTTTACAGAATTTTTTTGCTAGCTAGCGGCACTTCATTAATTCTTGCGACCAAACTCAAAATCGCGTTTAAAATGCCGTTTTTAAGGTTTGGTTCTACGAAATTAGTCAAAAGATAGCTTCTGAGTGATTGAAACGCAGATCTTTTTTATTTTCAAATACAAATCATGAATTTAGTTTTGCTTGATGATTTGATGAGTTAACAAACTTTATTTGATTTACGAAGGAATTTTCGCATCGACCTGATATTTGAAAGTATTTAAGTTTGTTGTCAAGTCCAGGAGGTGCACTCTCCTGACTTGAATCCTTCACCCTGATTGTCTTACTTTGTATGAACATAACAATATGACTAGAATCTTTATTATAGATTTATATGATAAGGAAAGGGGAAGGGAAAACCGCCGGTCACCCGGTTAGACACAGCTCATCTGGAGTTGCTGGGCACCGCCCAGTTGGCGTGGAGACTGTCGGACCATCTAATTAGTCTGCGTCTCGACATGTCCATTCCATAATAAAGCTCGTCCCGAGCTTTCATCTTTGACCATGGCTTGGGAGTAGGAAACCATCATCGAACTGCCCATTACCATTTGTATCATCATTGCTTCGTTTGAGGGCAAGAGGGTGTTGTTGATACCATTATCGTCATCAAAACTGCCCATGTACCATTTGATCGTTGCTTTTGAGGGCATGCTGTTGTTGATCGCTTCGCTTAGTTGCATGACTGCTCTTCATAAGTGGACAAGGGGAAAAGGGCTGAGAATGCAGAAGCTAATCTTTTGAGGAGTGTGGCAGGTTTTTTTTGAAGCTACTTCACTTTTCAAATAAGTGTTTCTTCGACAAAAGTTTTATTTTTATTTTTTGGAAAACAACAGCACAACTCCTTTTTTTCTTTTTTCTTTTTTTGAAGGTTGTGAGTATATCAAGCAACCATCCATCAAATCATGTTTCGATAAATAAGAGTTTTATATAGTCTCAGTTTCGAGAACTCATTGAAACTTATGGTATTCTCTGAAAATACCTTTTTTTTGGAATAAAGACTCGTTTTTGGTAAGTTTGCCTCAATTCTCTTGGCAGACAACCAAACGAATTCACGAATTAGCGAATTTAGCTAGTCATCGTGATTCATGAGCTTCTTTTTGAAACCAAACTAAAGTCATGCTGACATGTCAATTTGAGGTAGTGGTTAGCTCCCACATTTTCTCAAAGACTCAAACATGGGTGACCTACGTTGGTTTTTTTTTTCAAATTTTTTTTTCAAATAGGCGTGAAAAGGGTAAACCAAAAAAACATAGACAAGGGCTAGAAAAGCATACCTCTTATGGATGTGCGAGTAGAGTTGTAGGAAAGTTTTCCATGACATCTGTTGGTCCTTCCCTAGAGAATATCATTTCGAGGAGTCCTTGGGACGGAACCTCTTTCCAGTCGTACTCGGCTTCCATAAAAATGCTGATCCAGCCAGGGTCCATAGGTGGCTAATCAGCATCAAACAAGTGCCGCATACCTCTGGCCCAGACATTCGTCGATGGGATACGAGGTTCAGAGGGCACTGCCGCTGCATGTGCCTACTTCTGGCGGCTAAATGTCACTCGTTGGTGAGTGATTAGCCATTAAAAACTATACGCTGGTAGAGAGCCTTTGGAGTGGCCGCGGGCGATTGGGTAGCCGTTGGGGCTTCCACAGGCAATCATAAAAAAACGGCCAGTGAAAGTCGTTTTAGGCAAAAGCTATTCACAGTACTTTTTCTACATGTGAAAACTTGATTTGGTAGGGCTCACAGTGCGTTTTCCACTTGCGAGAGTCAAAAAAATACTATCACAGTGCTTTTTCCACGTGTGACAGTTATAAAGGCAAAAAAATTTGGCTCACAGTGCTTTTTCCACGTGTGAAAACCTATTTACATATGTACAATGCCGGCTGTGGCGATAGAGTCATTGAGTTTTGTATGTGCGCGTAAAAAATAATCTGGGTGAAAAATTCCCAGTTGAAAAGAAAGGAAAAAATAGGGAAAAATATCAATGATTCACGGCTCCGGGATATCACGGCTCTAGGAAATCACGGCTCGCGGAATTCACGGCTCGCGGATTCTCAATCTAGAGAGTTGGACTCATCTAGAAAGATCGCGTCGGGAAAATCACGGTTCGCTTTTTCACGGCTCGGGGGATCACGGCTCGGAAATAGCAAGAAAAAATGATTAAATATCAATAAAAGGAAAATGTTATTTGAATGAGGATATTATATGAATACGAACTCAAACTCATCGCCTGACTCAAAAAACTAAGGAAGAAAATGAGAAAATGAGATAAAAAAGGAGGAAAATATGAGAAAAATAGCTACGTAGAGACGTAGGAGATGAGGGCTGGTGCCGGCGGTGGGAGTTTGCAAAGACTTGGCCAAAATCAATGCTGATTAAATTTGAATTTCTTTTGATTAAAAAAAATAATACTCGAAAAATGATTGATTCAGAAAAATGTGAGTCATAAAAAGAAAACAACCCGGGACCTCCATGTCAAGTCCAAGAGGTGCACTCTCCTGACTTGAATCCTTCACCCTGATTGTTTTACTTTATACGAACTTAACATCTAGGACTAGAATCTTTATTATATATTTATAAATAGAAAGAGCGGGGAAGGGAAACCGCCGGTCACCCGGTTAGGCACAGCTCATCTGGAGTTGCTGGGCACCGCCCAGTTGGCGTGGAGACTGTCGGACCATCTAATTAGTCTGCGTCTCGACATTGTTAGCGAATATTTTGGTGAGTTTAACCTTCTTCCATGATTTTTATAGCGTTTTTATAAGTTTAGAAAGAAACACTTATTTCAGACTTCATAAAAGATATAAAACTTTTTCCACTCCCTTGTTACCTTAGGATGTTCTAAGGAACACATTCTCAAAAAATCGCCATCAAAAATTTGCAAAAAGGTCAAAACTGGGCTTAGTCCCAGCTCACCTTGCTGCTGGGAGTAAAATGGGCTTTCAAGTCTATTTAAAATGGAGGTACCCTATTTTCAGGTGTATAAGCCGCACCCTTTTTGCTCTAGACGCGAGCAGACCCAGGCGTGCCGCCGCGCATATCTCTCGCGAAGCGGTCGCCTTATCGCATACTGCTCTCACTTAACGCGCTCCGATGACAGTCAGTCTTTTGGCGTATTCGCCTTTAGAGTGAAAAGGTGCGGCTTATACACCTGAAAAAGGGCAAATCCCATTCCCCATTCTAAATGGACTTTTCGCATAATTCTTTCGCAAGCGAGAGCTCAAGTAGGGTTGAATCATTTTCATCACACCGTTTTGCCTCGTGGTTGCAATGACTCAGACATTCGCCATTGAGTCCCGCAGGACAAAATGAGGTGTCGTCACGGAATGCCTGCGCGACTGGCGAAATCGGTGTCGGGACAAAATCAGGATACCTGATTTTGTTTCGGGACAAAACTGCGCGATAAAATTAGGTGTTCCGACGGACACATTCCGGACAAAATCGGGACACCTGCGGGAGACACCATAATGCCCCGATCGCGTTCAGAGCAGGCGGCCTACGCCCTTATTGATAGGTTTTTGCGTCCTCTGTAATCTCTCTAACGCCTCTCTTTTCACTTACCTTGAGTCGCTGGTCTCTTTGGGTCCCATTTCTCACGCTTGTAATTTTCTGCTAGTAAAACCCAATCTTACGTCGTAAAATTTATTAACAAATAACGCAGATTTGGAGCAGGCTACGAACAACTACAACAAAAATGTAGACAAAGCATCAGGCTTCCTCGATGT